AGAGAGAGAGAGAGAGAGAGAGAGAGAGAGAGAGAGAGAGAGAGAAAGAAGTCGGCTGGATCGGACGTAGAGAAATAGATAAGAGCGGAGAAACGAAAATAAGGCGACCGCACGCGTTGGAGGCGACAGCTCGGTTGTGAAACGAGAACCTTTGATAATCGATTTGGTTGCGAGCGCACGCCGAGAGGAGAGACGATCGATATCCCGTAGATCAAAAGTAATCGGTAACGGTAAAAGTAATCGGTAGCACGAAATGCGACACAGAGCGTTATATTAGCATATCAGCGTGTTGAGCTTAGAAATGAAGCGCGCGCGAAACAGTGAGATCACGCGTGATAATACATAGTACCAGTAGTGTGTGTTTGGAGTGAACGAGAGAAAGGGAGAGAGAGAAAGAGAAACATTGAACGAACGATTGTATGATGACTCGGGCGGGCGTGTTCCAGGCCCGCGTTAATAGCCATTGCTTTCGAAACTCGTCCCATGTGAGACACTCAGATCTGAATTTGGAGTTAGACCCGAGTCTTCCGCCTGAATCACACAATACGCGACGTTGCATTTGCTATTCAACTGAAAGATTCGCATCTAACTCTGAACTCGGCTCTGAGAGTCTCAACCGGGGCAAGTCCCAAGTATGGACTATTAATACGGCTCTCAGAGAAGCGCGAGAGACGTTGTGTATCAAACGTTCCTCCGTCAGTGATAAGGATGCGATGTCGCCGACATTGTTGCGCTCACGATATGGCGCTAAACGTCGTTATCGTTGCCATTATCACGGCCATTGATTATGATCATTAAGCAAAACAGGTCGAGGGACGAGAATGATACCTTCTTCTCCAGAACGTGATGAGACCATTCCGAGGAGCAATTTATATCGCGTCTTTTAAGCGAGATTAAAATAGCGAGATAATCGAGAACCGCGGGACACAATTTCCTCCGAGTTGCAACGTAAACATGACGAGTCTGTGCTCGCGATAGTAGCGATTACATTAGATTATATCGTTGCTCTGTGACAAAAGCGAGCGTTACCTCGTTATCGGAGTTTATATTAATGGATAGCGCTATCGCGTCGGGACAGCAATGCGCCGCGTGTAGCTTCATAAAGTGCAATTCTTACGAGGATTCGGTATTACGAGCTGCGTCGATCGATATAATGCACAGCACGCGGTGAGAAGGCAGCCAGAGAGCGAGTCGTCAAACGCGAAAATACGACATGTTTGTGGCGCCGGCTATACTCACGATACTCCTCGTGTGGCGGGAAGTTATCAGCCGCGCGTAAAGTAACGCACGAAGTAAACATTTCGCACGACAGATATCCGCGATATCGTCGTAAAACAAGTGCCGGCGGCATCGCACTAGCACGTGGAGTATTTACGCGAATGTGTTGCGCGCGCGAGCGAGTACGATGCGAGGACGAAGTGTACTTTTGTAACGAGGGGCGAACGAAACGCTTGTGTTCGGCCGAAGTCTCCGAAGCTTCACTGAGACTTTCGCCGGCGGAATTTGTCGTCGTCGTCGTGCGGAATGCGATGAATCGCGGACGTGTCGTCCGAAGTCAGTAGCGACGAGCGATGATAAGATCCGAGAAATTCCGCCGACGAGCGTAGGGAATAAATAGTTATTTATAAAGTCACACACTCTCTCTCTGTGTAATCGAGGGCGAGAGGTAAGGTGCGAGAGGAGGGGGCGTGAGGGCTGGGGGTGCGAAGAGGCGCGACGCGAGAAGCGGGAATAGCGCGAACACAAGACATGCCATTTTGAATTATTATTTTCATATAAGGAACGTGTAATATATAAAATATATAATATATACGATAGATATGTGTGTATATATATGTATACACACATACGTACATACATACATATATATATATATATGTATACACGCATATGTATATGTCGATATGACGAATTAACAGCATCATCGGGACTTATGATCGCGACGATGATAATGGTTAATATTATTATTATTGCTATTATTATGGTTATTGATTATGATTATTATGGAATGAGGATTATAACGAGAAAAAAAGAAGCTAATGCATTATATAAAGATAAAAGTAATTACACTTAACACTTACGTTAGGCAGCTAGATACATACATTCGATGATGCAAGTGAGAAAAAATGGAGTAACCCACACGTTCGACGAGGAGGAGGGCGAGTCTATAGGTGTGTGACATAAATTATAACGTCGTACATTTCTATATCAATGTAGAACACACACACACACACACATACATACACACACATTCAAACACACATACAAACACACATACGTACAAACAAACGGGGACGTATGCGAATGACTAGGATTTTTTAGCGAACGTCGTGGGTACCTGCATTTCGTCGTTGAAACAGGGGATACGAGAAGCGGTCGCGAAAGTAGATCAGTAAGAGAAACGTCAGAAACATGAAAAGTCACACACTGACCGCGTTCTTCACTGGCTCGCGGTCGCGCCATCTCGCGCGTCTGCTTCCGTTGAAGACACGTTGAAGATCGCGCAGAGCAACCGACCCTTTTCGTATCTCGTCCCGGAGGAGGAGAGATGATTCGCGGTTTCGTCGATTTTTCCACACGGAGGATGCATTCCCGGCGAAATCGACGAAAGGAAGCGCTCCCCGCGAGGTGCGCAACGTCCCGTCGGCCGCGCCTGTATATCGGTGGACGGAAGAAGGGTCTCCCGACGTTCGCATTTTCACGCCACGGACGTGTTCCCGATCCCGCGAACGTAACTTTTGACGATTCGTTCCTCCGATTTGGTTCTCTTTTACGTGAACGCCGAGCCGAAAGTTCTCTGTACGACGTACCTTATCCGACTTAAAGCTCGCATACAGATTACATAACTAGCTATTACGGACATGGCCATTAGCAGAGAAGTGTATCATTCAGATAGTTTATCATTAAAGAAACGCTAATCATCATAGATATATTAACGACACATTATTTATATTATTACGCATATTATATAAATAATTGATAACTGATGATACTAACCTTAGGGTGAAGTATTGTGTGTGCGAGGGGGGAGGGGGTGGGGTGGGTTAGGGGGAAACATTACGAAGGATCGCGTCCGCGTGGACGCGATGGCGGCGACGGTACGTCGTTTTTTTCCGGAATGACGCTGCCGACACGAGAATGAAAAAGAAAAAAAACAAGATAATGAATAAACCGCCAATTACTTTAACTTCGACAGTACTATTATTTGTATATGCCGAACGATTATGCCGTTTTCAGCGCAACATATTTTGGCAATTCTCTTTGGTGGTATGGTTCATAGCGATTGCGTTTGGTGAGAGCGAAAAAGAGAAAAAGAGCGTGAACGAGAGAGATAGAGAGAGAGAGAAGGGAAAGAGAGAAAGAGAAAAAGAGAAGGAAAGAGGAAGAGAATGAAAGAAGACGGGGGAACCGGAGTGTGGGAGAGAAAGAGGATTAAAAGAATAAAACAAACGAACAAAATAAAAATCAGAAGTTTCTATACTTTTTACGGAGATTGTTATAGTCTAAGCGCACACTGATCAAGGCATTCGTCGCTCGGCAAAAACATAATACAATTATTAATATAAAATTTATAACAGAAATAAAATAAATGAAGTTAATAAATATGTACACTGTATAATAAACATTATTTCCTATTAATAATTCATGCCTTTTTATTCAATCAGCTTTCTACACCAGAATCGAAAATCCCTCGTGATATCACGTAGCGCACCTTTGTATATTTTATTTCGTATTTTTCTCTTTCACTTAACATTGTTATGCTTGTTTGTTTGTTATAAAACATTGTGTTTCTTATAAACCATCAATAAATTACATGTATAAATCATGTTCACGTAACTGCGTACACTTTCTTATCGACCAGCAATAACCCAAAGCGCTTCTAATCGTTAGCAAAATCATCTCCAAAGGTGATCCTTAACATTAGAAAATATGAAATAACACAGAGAACTTTCTATAAAAGATTAAGGGAAAATAGAAGGAAATAGAAGAATCCTAGCTAAACATAGAATTGTGTAGAGTTTCCAGATCCTTTTCCCTCTCCACTGCTCGTCGCTTCTCCTTCCTGTACATCTCGTAGTCTTCATCGTCTGTTGGCAGTTCATACCGACAGAGCGGACACGAGTTGGTCTGCAAGTGTAACGTATTGGAAACGTCAGAGTGCGCAACAGGCTCTACTGTGAGCAATTATTGTTATAACATACTTTTTCTAACCACGGTAAAATACACTCCTGATGAAATGCATGACGGCATGGCATCAACTTCGCTTTATTGCCCGTTTGAAAGTCCTTCAAACAAACTGGACACTGTTTGACCTCACCAGACTCGATTGTGACCTCTTCCAAATTGTTTACCGCGCTTTTCGACGCAGGTGGTGAAAGTTTCTCATTTTCTCCGAGCATGTCCCACATGCCAAAGTCCCGCAGGAATCGTGCCATTTGGATTAAATGATTTGGCGTTTCTCCGTGAGCCAACGGCGTCCAACCCATTTCCTCAAAATAATCGGACATCTCGTTGAGGTTATGGTAAATCTGCCTCCCGAGTAGAACGGCGAATGCAATACGCGTACGACGTTTATTTTTAACGTGAATAATAACAACAACTTTACTTTTTCTTTCGTATTTACAATCAATCTTTGTTTAAAGAACACCTCCGTACGTTGTGCGCTATAATTTTTTATACACTGTCACGTTTTTCACCGAAAACCCGAGTCATACTAGCTGTCAGTGAGCGTGCAGGGAGAGAGAGGTAGAGAGGGATAAAACTCGCGCACGCGTAGTACACGAACTCTGTTCTCAATAGCATATAATATGCCTGGTTCGTGCCCGTTGTACTTCCGTACGATGATAGTAAGTTAGAAAAGGACAGTCTTTTTACTACCAATTATATTTTTCGCGCATTTCTCGGTAACTAAAGATATCAAGGTGACACCAAGGGCACTATCTGTCCCACAATTCATCTTATTGAAATTGGTAGTTTATAATAATATGAATAATATCGGAGACTCGAAACACCTCGGTTCGAATCCCGGCTTAAGGGGACGCTAGAGTGGACGACAAACTTGATAAGCGTCGATAACGTAGAGGCGATTAAAAAGATTTAAAACGTAGAAAACATTATCTTTATTTACCAATGTAATTAAGATTCATAAATGCCTTTACACTTCCGGTATCCAGAGAATTGAACTTTTTCGATCTGGCGCATCGTTTCTCAGTAAGCGTTAGTTAGTTAACAGTAAAGAATAATAAAAAAAGACATAATAAAGATATAATAAAGATATAATTAAATCCTAAATACTTTAAACTTAATAAATTTATAAATATATGTTACAAATTATTTATACATTTTCATATATAAAAGTAAATAGTAGTTAAACATATATAAAATATAAGTGAACAAAAATATATTCATATATATAACAATCACAAACCGACAAAAATAGGTACGTTGTATCCATATCGAATCCATGTAATTTACGTGGAATACGCCCCCAATAGAAATCCATGACAATCACAGTATGTGATAATTAATTTATGACAACTTTATATAACCTAATAGACTTCTATTACGATAATAGTATATGATAATTAATTTTTATCAAATTTATGACAACATTTACGTATATATAGAAAGTTAAATGGATTTACCTGAAATAAACTACAAATTAATATATTATTGTGATTTAAATTCTTCATTATAATAATACAGCAATATATTTGTTATTAATATATCCCACATTTACCTATTGTCTGCTTGAAAAATAATATTTAAATAATTAATATTATAATTGATTTAAACATGACAAAATTTTATAAGACACGATTGCATCAATATTTGAGTTCATTTTTTAAATTCAATATGAATGTCTAAAAAAGGTTTATTTCTTATGATTAGAGAAATAGTAAATTTGGCGTAAATTTGAGGCAAACGAATCTTGATATCGATGGCTCGAAAAAAGGAGTCGCGGCTTCGTAAAAACTACACAGGATGAGAACACAGGAGGATAACATACAAAAAGCCGCGTACACGTGCGCTCCACGCTTCGGCTAGGTTAGCCACGTGTACTCAGTTTTCAGTATGTGTTCATCTTTCCAGTACAGTGCCTGCGCAGTCTTGCTTCTCTCTAGAATCGCTGCACATCGCTGCGCAAGATTTCTCGTGCGGAAGCCAATACGGCTCGCCAATATCGCAGATAATAACACGTCTGTACTGAATATAAATAAAAAAGTTATTATAAACGCATAGCAGACAGATTTAGAGGTAAGTATAATGTTTGTCCTTCATATTGCATAGTAGCAGTATTAAGTGGCAGCATTTCAATAAAAAGAATCATATTTTTGAATCACCAGAAAGGCTTTCTATTCAGAATATGGAAGAATTTTAAAAAATTTGAAAATGGAGATACAGCTTTTTATGAAGCATTGGTAAGTATATATGACAAATAATGCGTTTATTTAATACAGATGAATTGTTATTAATAATTATAAATTCTATTTATTTTGATTGTAGCAAGAATATTTAGAATTTGTCGGTTCAAATACGGTATTAATTTGTCGGTAAAAAATACGTTACATTAGAATAAATGATTAATATGTTTAATGATAAAAAATTAAGAAATAACGTAAATTTGGTCAATATAACGTCAAATTAACATTATTTTGACTCTTCTATTCTCCATGGGAGAATTTAATACACATTCATGTTTAAAATACTACAATAAAAAAGAACGGAATGAAAAATAGTATTCAATAGCAAATTATTACATTGGTTTTCCATTCATACATAGAAAATGAATTAAAAAATAAAACATCTGTTTTGCATCTCGACGATAATCTGTATTATGATATCCTGTCGTAATAATTCAGGCAACTGGTCATGAAGATAATAATGGAATCTACTTTATCTGCACTGTGCTTATACATATTTCATCCAAGGATGCCAACTTACATACAGCAAGCAGCAGCGTGTGGAGGGGATACGCACACAAGCGAGCCAGCGAACAAGCTTCGGCGGCCGAAAAGTCGAGTGTACACGTTCACTGTCGCTCACTTGTGTGCGTATCCTCCCACACGCTACTGCTTGCTGTAAGTAAACTAAAAGTGGCATCTTTGATTTCATCCTTCTATATATGCTGGTATTATATACTCAGCAGTTCTTGTCCGTGCAATCATTAGAGCCCGTCACGGCTATGAGGTGATCATCTTACTGCGTCGTGAAATATTCTTCATAAAACAGTTTATTGTCAAAATGTGATCGTGAACAATTCATTTTAAGTGTATGTGTGTGTGTGTGTGTGCGCGCGCGCGCGTATATTATTGTTGCTCATTAAATGGTGTGCACATATTCCTGTAAGAATATTTAATTAAAAATTAGCTGTGACAGAACACGCAAAACAGAAGACGTTAGATATTAATTGCTATTATGTATGTGATATTATTTTTTCTTTCCAAATTGGACAGTCATTTTATAACTTAACGTCAAATTCTTAAACAACAATTTTTACAATTCACAATATTAATCAAAGTATCAAGTGTGCAAAAAGTTCTAATCTGATAAGTTTTATACGTTCACCGTATCAATCGATGTGATATATACAGGATGTTTCAGACCACCCATACCACCTATTTAAAATAAAGGGATCAACATTTTATTAAAAATTCAAAACATTTTTTCACATAAGTCAAGCACGCTCTATTAAATGGTGCTATATTCAACTTCCAGTATTGACCGGAAGTTTAGTTTTTTAAATGGAATACCCTATTTTTTTTTGCAGATTCAGATTTTACGGTGAAAAATATGAAACTTATGTTTGAAACATTTTTTCCGAAAATATGTCCACCAACCTTGAAATGACATTGAAAGTTTATCAACTATCAGACCTCTTAAGAATTTCTTAGCCGCAGCGCGATAGTCGCCTTCGTATGATTTGACTTTTTAACATACTCCAAGTACTAAAATAAGTACTTCTACTTAAGTATCTTACTTTCAATTCTTCGTGTACTCCAATCACACTCAAAAATTTTTAAAAGTGGACTGAGTAAAGTTGGGATCGGGACAATAAAATGAACTTTTCAAACATAATTTTATTATTTAACTTTTCGTTATAGTCGCAATTTAGTAACAAACTTAACATATACATAATTTTTATTCAATTAGTAAATCTTGTCTAGGCTAAATGTTCAATGTGAGTTCCATTATGTAAAAGGCAAGTATCAATTCTTTTACATGTTAAGTTTATTACTAAATAAATGTTAAGTTTGTATATATATATATATATATATATATATATATATATATATATATGTGTGACATGTATTTATCTTAAAAATATATATCATATTAAAGTAACCATATTAATGCAAAAAATATCGCAATTACACGAAAAAAATTAGCTACAGTAGTAAAAACTGTATGTGATAGCTAAACATATCGTTGTAACATATGAATACCTAAAAGTGAATCTGCTAGTGAACATATATTCAGCTACGAACCGATGTAGTAGCAATAGTATAGCAAAAGTTCTAATAACAGCAACACATTTCTAATTACAATAGCAAACATTTTAACGATTAGATGGGCCAGTGAAATTTTGTTTTCGTGCATAATTTTATACTCTCTGTTATCCTCATTATACTATTTATTGTATACAACATAAAATTTTGTAAATAGTTATTATAGTTACAATTTAAAATCTAGGTTCAAACAAATATAATTGTTTTTATATTTGAAATCACCAAGACAGTTATCTTTTTCACATGAATTGAGCGAATTTATTCTTATTGTTTTATCATTGTGCAACGTCTCTCACACATATCTTAATTGATAAAAATCAAGATAACAATGTTTTAATAAAAATATGTTTTGTACAGAAATATCGTATTGACTGGAAAGGAAAGTCATTCGTGTTCAATATCAAAATGCAGCGCACAGAGGGAATCATTATCTTTGCGTGGCTACTGTACGTTCAGCCGATAGCCATTATGAATCACATTGTGATAGCACAAGAAGATACTTGCCAGCTGCCAAGTGCCTTAATCGAGGAAATAGACTCGTACTCTGGGATAGTGCAAAGAATAATCTACAAAACTATGCAAGGTTCTTTCAAAGGAACTACTTGGCAAGATTTAGCACAGTTTGTCGACAAATTTGGCCCGAGGTTCACGGGTACCCAAGCTCTCGAGGATTCCATCGATTATGTGTTAAACAATTCGATTAGTTTAGGCCTAGAGAATGTTCATGGTGAAACGGCCACTGTACCACATTGGGTCAGGTATAAAATCTGTGAAGAAGACAATCATTAAAGTTATATATATATAAACTTTCAATGCGCTGTTTTTGTTTCTGATTTTTTACACTTTTTTTCACGAACACACAATAGTAAAAAGATTAAGTTGATATTAGTATAAGCTAATATAAATATACGACTTATTTGATTTTGCGCTTTTTTATAGTCCCTCTTTTTACGATTCGTGATTCTTGCGATAAACCGAGTTTATATGGCCAATTTTATAGCTTCAAAAAATTATTAATCATAAAAAGAGTCACAACTTACAAGCACATACAAGGTCATACGCTTATATTAACTTATATTATACCGATATCGATTAGACTTTTTGATTATTCTTCAGCATTGAATCCATTCCCGAAGTAAGTTCCACCAACAATGAAACATTTTAAGATACAATGTATTATTGTATGTTAGACAATACTAAATCGCCTATGAAGATATATTTGTAGTAAAAAGAAACATATTATTACAACTCTTTATCCAATTATTTATTATTTACGACTTTATCCAATTTGTTAAAATAATACAAGACATTATAATTATGACGTATTTTCAGAGGCTCTGAATCTGCAACTCTTTTACAACCACGGCGACAAAATCTGGCGTTATTAGGTCTCGGTTATAGCGTGGGTACTCCGGAAGAAGGCATAACTGCTAAAGCCATTGTTGTGGATAGTTTTGCGGAACTTGAGAAAAGAGCGAAAGAAGTAAATCACGTCTTTAGCAGACGTTATTTTATACGATAATCCAACACTTGTAACCATAACATGGTAATCCTTGATTGTATAAGATTCCAGGAAAAATTGTCGTGTACAATCAAAAATTTGTTTCGTACGGGGAGACCGTAGAGTATAGAAGCTCAGGAGCCACGAGAGCGGCAGAATTTGGTGCCGTAGCTGTTTTAATCAGATCAGTGACACCATATTCGCTGTATACTCCTCACACTGGTATGATGAGCTACGGAGAAAACGTCACCAAGATCCCAGCTGCCTGTATAACTGTCGAGGATGCAACTCTTTTGGGAAGGATGGCGAATCGAAGTAAGAAATCTTTCCCGAGCACCACCGTGCAGATAACTGATCGATCGCGATCGATTCTGTTTAGGTGAAGATATTGTTATAAATCTGAAGATGCAAGCGCAGACACACCCCGATACGCAATCGCGGAACGTCATAGCGGATATCACCGGTTACAGCGCGCCTGAAAAGATAGTCGTTGTTTCTGGACACATAGATAGCTGGGACGTTGGACAGGGTGCCTTGGACGACGGAGGTGGCATTTTCATATCCTGGAACGCAATAAAGTTACTGAAACAACTTGGGTTACGGGCACGTAGAACAATGAGGTGATTTTAAATATCTCAATATACTTACACAATACGCATCCCAGACAGCACACATGTTCAAAACTAACATAAGACATCTTTAAGACGTCTTTAAGCCGTCTTTAAGACGTCAGGACATAAGACGTTTTTAAGTCGTCTTAAAGACGTCTTAAAGATATTTTATGTTTTAGTTTGGGACATTGTGCTGTCTAGGGTGTCTCAAAGATGTCTGAAAAATGTTCAAAAGACGCCTAACAAAAAAAAAAATAGGACGTCTTTTGGACGTTTTCAAGACATCTTTGAGGCATGCACGTCATGTGGGATGTTTCATAGTCGAGAAATAAATAATTCTCTATGACAGAAACTGATATTCAGTAAAAAAATTATTGATTATTCATATGTGTTTTTGAACAATACTTTTTATATGGTGCAACCAAATCCTACGGATACTTATCATATTTTATTAAAATTTTCTCATTTATTTTTGCGAGTCCTGCTAGTCAGTTAAGTATTTATTCTGAAACACTCTGTATATATTTTAGAATGATAATGTGGACTTCCGAGGAACTTGGTCTCATTGGAGCTCGTCAATATATACAGAAGCACGCGGCGGAAAATGGAAATCTACAATTTGTGATGGAGTCCGATTCGGGCACATTCGTGCCTGTAGGCCTCGAAGTCACTGGTGACGAGACGATCAAATGTATACTTCGGAGGATAATGAAGTTAGTTTTTCATGCAAATTACCTTGCTGACATTCTCGTGCTTCGTTTCTACTAAATTTGCGTCCACCGTGTTCTAATATCTCTCTACTCAAACGATGAGTCATGGAAACGTATTTCCATAAATACTTGATGTTCATTTACAGAAATATTCGTTATCTTTTGTAATCAACTTGCTTTAGGAAGCAAACATTTGACATTTTTTAGATTGTTGGCTCCGTTGGGTGATATGAAACTGAAGAGTCCTTGCACGGCACCTGATATACAATTCTGGGTAAACGCTGGCGTACCAGGCGGCAGTTTATGGACGCAAAACGAGGAATACTTTTACTACCACCATACGAATGCGGACACGATGCTGGTGGAAAATCCGAAAGCTCTGGACATGAACACAGCCATATTTGCAGCGCTATCGTTCGTCCTAGCGGACATCAGCGTCGATTTTCCCCGACACAACTACACTTATCCTCTTGATAAAATATGGAAAATTACTTTTCCAAATTGACGTATAATATAAATTACAATGAGCGTGTGTGTTCACTGTATATTTCAAATGTTATATACAATAACAACATACAAACAATTAGGCCTACTGTAAATGACTAATCTAAATTTTTCAAAAGCATTACAGAAACATTCCTGATCAAACGAGCGAGATTTTACGATTCTCTTCTCTAATTTGATTTCTCTTCTGTTTAATTGTCTCTCTCACGACGACCTTATTAAAAAATTATCTATTCGAAATACTATCCGAAATACTACGAGAATTATATACGTTCTCGCAAAAATATTCTAATAGGATAAGTGGCCGTAGTTACACAAGTTATAATCCAACTTACATAAAGTAAATCATTTTCGAAAAAATAAAAATAAAAATTTAATACATGATTTAAAAAATATAGGTAGCACTAAGGTTCTTTAAAGTCGTTGAAGAAATCAAGTATAGTGAATTTTCTTCTCTTTAATAATATCCATCGACGAGTTTAACCTTTAAAAGAATAGATGAAAAAGACGCAACTTCGCGCAAATAGTAGAAAATAAAAAAAATATTTTTTAATTAATTTTAGGCGCCTATAAGGCTTGGATCTTTTCTGTTTTATGCAGAAAGACGTATGGATTAACCATTGATAACAAAAACTCAAAAATCATAGTTTTGGATTATTAGATTGTGTTATTGGATAGGTTGGATTATTTTTGTATAACTAATGACCAAGTGTACTCCGCAAGACTACCTTTGGGACTTATATGTCTTACGTCTGCGATCTGTACAATGTAAAGCAAAATAAATTAATTACATCGATAAGGTGAATGTCCCAATTATTGACTATGTCCCAATTTGTGACCATCGCACCCATTTTCCTTAATACGAGTCTATATTTATTCTAAACATGTGTTCGGTACACTAAATTTTACATATTATCAATTACAAGTTTCGAATAAAATTAAAAGCCGTAGTGAGCATGCTGAAATATCAGAATTACAAGCGTACTACTTACAGCGACAATTCAAACAGTCCAATGGCACCGATATCTTAGTAATAAATAATGAATGCTAGATGTCTGTTTAATGAATTTGTGTGGTTATTCTCTAATCTATAACGACTGAAATTGTCCTGTAAAAAAGAGAAGGATGAAGGAATATCTCAGAAGCCAAAAAAGTATCAGGATATGTACTTTTCGTAGTTAATTCATATATGTCATTAATCGGTATTAGAAAATTGATGCGTTCCTATTACTAACCACCGAAATAAATATGATATACAATTATATAAGTGCGTTCCTATTTTTAAAGAGAATATATATTTTGTAAATCTTATTTATATATATAAAATTAATAAATAACATCAATATCATAATTTAAAATACTAAACCTAAAAATTAAAGTTAAAGTTAAAGTTTATTACAGATAAGATAAATGCTGCAATTAGTGGTCAAATAAGCTCATCGTGAAAATAAAATAATAAATTAATAAAATATAAATGCTAAACTAAATAAATAAAATTGATTTTGTTGGAAAGCTTGAACATTTGGGATTTTAATCATGTTATATTGTTTTTATTTGCGGTAAGATTTTAATTTATCTATAATATTTACTTAAAAATGGCTAAACTACCATTTAGTGGCCAGTCAGTTTGGTTTTGTCCCAATTTGTGACCTATGTATGTCCCTATTACTGATCGGCGATAAGCATATAAACGCGGCTCTATTATTAATTGACCACACTGACTGACAGATACTGTAAAAAGCTATAACTTGTTAACATTATTATATTATTAAGAAACATAAAATAGTGCATGAAATAATACTGTCTTATATTAAATTTAACACAAAAAATTTATTTATTTATCATATACACATTATTCAAGATTTATCTATCTTTCAGTATCTATCTGTAATAAATTTTAACTTTAACTTTAATTTTTAGGTTTAGTATTTTAAATTATGATATTGATGTTATTTATTAATTTTATATATATGAATAAGATTTACAAAATATATATTCTCTTTAGAAATAGGAACGCACTTATATAATTGTATATCATATTTATTTCGGTGGTCAGTAATAGGAACGCATCAATTTTCTAATACCGATTAATGACATATGTGAATTAACTACGAAAAGTACATATCCTGATACTTTTTTGGCTTCTGAGATATTCCTTCATCCTTCTCTTTCTTACAAGATAATTTCAGTCGTTTCAGGTTAGAAAATAACCACACAAATTCATTAAACAGACATCTAATATTCATTGTTTATTACTAAGATATCGGTGACATCGGATTGTTTGAATTGTCGCCGTAAGTAGTACGCTTGTAATTCTGATATTTCAGCATTCTCACTACGGCTTTTAATTTTATTCGAAACTTGTAATTGATAATATGTAAAATTTAGTGTACCGAACACATGTTTAGAATAAATATAGACTCGTATTAAGGAAAATGAGTGCGATGGTCACAAATTGGAACATGATCAATAGTTGGGACATTCACCTTCCTGAAAGATAGATAAATCTTGAATAATGTGTATATGATAAATATATAAATTTGTTGTGTTAAATTTAATTTAAAGACATTATTATTTTATGCACTACTTTATGTTTTTTAAAAATATAATAATGTTAACAAGTATAATATACAAGTATAATAACGTTAACAAGTTATAGTTTTTTACAGTATTTGTCAGTCAGTGTAGTCAATCAGTAATAGGGCCGTTCATATGTTTATCGCCGGTCAATATTAGGAACATACATAGGTCATAAATTGGGACAAAATCAAACTGACTGGTCACTAAATGATACTTTAGCCACATTATGAAAATATTATAAATAAATTAAAATCTGACCGCAAATAAGAACAATATAACATGATTAAAATCCCAAATGTTCAAGCTTTCCAACAAAGTCAATTTTATGTATACTCGAAGGATGTCTTAAAAACGTCCTAAAAATGTTTTATTTCTTTTGGACGTCTTTAAGATAACTTTTAGTTATTTGTGTTGTCTGAGTATGTGTTGCAATGGTGTTTAATTTTCAGTCTCAGTCGAGCAGATATCGCTAATCTACGTGACTTATATTAACGTATCTTCATCTTGATTCGGAAAGACCATCAGTAAGGAGTGTTGAGAAGTCGTTCTCTGGCTCGATGTTAAGAGAGCGGTCTTCTCACCTCCGCTGCCGTTGATGGAACAATCCGGTGAGCTGCCGTCAAAGCCTATGTAATTGGTCGTCGTGCTGCTCGTAGAAGGCATATCGTTGAGATCTGGCGATGCTAAAGGAGGTGCTGTGGTCGAGCGCGCGTTGTTACCGTCCAGGGATACCAGCTGCATGCTATACGACTCGCGATATCCTGAAGTACTGGATGTGTCCTCGTCCCAGGAGACGTCCGACATCTGCGGATAAATATGGTGATGGTGGTGATGGGAATGGTGATATTGAAGTGTCGCCCCGTGGAATTGTTGCTGCTGATCGCCCGGCACGGTTGCATTCTTCTCTCCGTCCGACTTACGAATAGATAGACTTCGCTTGGAACGGATGGACGAAGAATCCGACGGGATGTTGGACAACGACGGTTCCGCAGCTGACGCCGACGAACTTGGCATTGCTGCTTTCAGCTGGCTCGTTGTTTCTTCCACTAGAATCGCTTCCGACTGTTCCGGCTTCGTTTGGGTCAACTGCAAATCAGTATTCCGTGTCTGCAATGAAGATTGACTTAATACTTAAGAACTTAACATTTAATGTGAATGCAAATCAGTTATAGTTGAAAACTTCACTCGAAACCTATAAAATTGATATATTTCATGACACAATGATATAAACTCGAGACTAAATAAAACAAATTATTCTTTAGTAAATAAATTACAAATCAGTTTGACGAACACCCCAATAAACATTAATTATTACACAGAGAAAATATTATAGTTTTTTTATGTAAATTCTTTTCTACTTTACTATATTTTTAATGGTCCAGAAAAATAGACTGCCAGTAAGATCTATCTTGCTAAGGAATATAATAAATTTCGCTAGAAACATAGTAGATTTCTTTAGAAACATAACAAGTGTGTTTTAATAGTACATTTCACTTTCTAAAATATAAGTAACATACATAAGATAAAAAGATAGTGAATTAATGCAGTATGTTGATCTATTTCTTAATCTCAAAATTCTATAGTAATTTTCACTATAAAATTCTTTATACAATTCTCTCTATACAATAATATAATATCATGGTTACAATTTCATACTCAACAATATAAATAACTCAATAATATAACGTGATGTGTAACATTTCCAGTAAGCAAGGAATATTAAATTAACATTTAGAAACGTTGACTTCATGTGCATTGTTTGGACATTTTTTAATAATATTGCATTTATATTTTTTACATGTTATTTTGTGATATGATTTTTCTGAATGTTGTTTAAATGTTTCAAAAACATTTAAAAAAATATATTTTTCAAATGTTACTTTAACATTTATTTGAGATCAATGCAATATCTTAAAAGTATTTCTGACGATTAAAACGTTATGGCAACCCTATTTCAACATTATTGAAACTTCCAAATCGCGGTTAAAGTATATTTATAATGATGTTCAATACAATATTAAACACTACATATTTGACAATATTACAGGTTCTTGAATATCATTGTAGTAACGTTGTATTAATGATTTCTCGCTTACTGGGTTTACATTGTTAAGTGAAAAATTATAATATTGATGCAATGTTACTGTTAACTGGTTTACTGGGTGTTTACTGAGACAAACAAGATATAAATGTGAGAAACAAAATATTTTGTATTTGTAATTGGTGATTGATCTTGTGTTAAAAAGCACATGAAATTCGTCACCTCAATATGAGCCTTTCGACTCTTTCTTAAGCGGAATGTCTTCTTGCTTTGACCCATAGAACGCTGTAAGCGAGGCTTGTCGGTGCGTAATTCTCCAGAACTGTCTTCGGTCGGACTGCTCGGGCTTAGTTGACTCGTCAGCGTCTCTCCTGGCAGGACAGTGGACGATCATGTCGCGTCTACTGTCTTATCACGAATTCTACTCTCTACGGGCCATCTACTCATGCTCTTCTTTCAAAGTATACTGTTCAAGATTGCTTTTGAAACGCGTGAGAATTATCTTGCATTCGCGTCCTGCGTCTGATGGAGCATATGGCACATTATATCTAGTAAATGTAAACTTTTCAACATTATAAATGTATGCTATTTTTAAACTCGAAAATTTTCTTAACCGTCAAATCTCGACGAGATAGAACTTACATACAGAATTGTAAAATGTATTTTTTGTGGGCAAGTAGAAATAGTTCGCTCCTTATTCTGAAATAAAGTTTGCTATTTCGAAAGTGTGATTTAAGAGAATTGATTCATTCATTTATTTCCCATGCCCATGAATATGTGTAAGCGAATATTTCAAAATTAGATATATCGATTAGAAAGGTTCTATTATATTGTAGAATATAATTGATCAGAAATGATTACGAATTAATTAGAAATGATTACTGTACAAAATATGCCACTGTTAAAATTAGAATTAATTGTGATGATAATGAAATATCCAGTATATAAAACGTGATATGTTAATTAGTGGATTATTGAAGATCGGGACGTTCTTGATATTCCTACGTGAAATATTACGTAACGACATGCATGCAAGATTGTATTCGTTAACGAAACATAGCAGATCTTTTCCATATCTTTTTGTGTAACAGAAGCGACACATGGCGAGAAAAGAAATATCACGAGATACTAGAAATCAATTCCACGATTACACATATAAGTGTTTATGTTTGCACGTTAAATACTGACAAACAGATGTTTCTACAAAAAGTATCGTCATGTGAAAAGCATCTTGCAAATTTATAGAATTGATTAAACGTAAGAAAGAAACAGAGACAAAGTGCACATAACAGTGTCAAGCATGTTTTTCTCTCCTCTCCGGGGTCATTCCGAAAAAATCAATAAACTACTTTCTCACGGAAACGTTACATGGTGATGTAGATAATGATGCTTTGGAGCTGATTGATGAGATATGCGTATGCATTGTGCCATGCATATTTAAGTTACATCAAACTCTATTATAAATTAGCCTTTGGTGAATGAAATACGTCACAAATAAATCAGTTTCTTAAGCTATTCTATTATTTATATTTACCAAAACGTGGCTGATTTTATATTGCGTCAATAAAAAATGATCATTGTACAATATGCAGATGTACGAAATGAACAATGAACCCAACAAGATAAAGAAGGCAAACACAAATGAAGAATGGAAAGAAATGAAAGATTTCTACAATCTTGCATTTTCCTTGAGTCTCTTGGATGCTGTATCATATTGAGGAATTGGAAACAGGGTCTCCCGAGGGTCAATGTCAATAAGTATACCGTGTGTATCGGTTAAAGCGGGGACTGGGGATTTACCTGATGAGTTTCTAAGCTCTACGGAAGAGACAAAGCGCAGCTTTGGCGCCTTTTGGTGAGGTAAGATAGGATGAAGCTTAACATGGTTACGTTCATCGCTAGTAGAAGATGGTTGGAATCTATCTGAAACATGCCACATCGAACGTCTAGTATGAGGGGAAGGATAACAAGTAAGACAGACCACACCACGATATAGTAATCACGGCGACACATTGCTCACAATCGTACATCGTGTCGATGTTGCACGCTTTGAGACAGAGTTTCGAAAGTGTAACGTCTCGATGATCTCGTTGCCTTAAACTCGAAAATGTGAAGTCGACTGGGATCATTATTTAAGGATTCTGAATTGGCGAAGTTACTCGTGACTTATGAAATTCCATAAAAAATTCTTTCACGCATTTCTGGACTTGCTTCGACATCGCAATGCGCATTGCATAAACCGAGGAATGATGTTACATACCCGTACGAGTCTTGCAAATGTAATTTAACTCGTTATAAAAGTGATCATGAACGGTGACGTCAGTGGGTGAATGTTTCAACGAGAGTGAAAGCATTGTGCAACTGACATACGCACGACATATTCACGTGGATTTCTCTAAAGATCTGTACGACATTGCTTCGATCGATAAAACGAACGTATCGAATATTCGAGTATATCATAGAGAGATTGTCAGAGCGAGCAACGACAAGACAAAGTGGTTTTGATGGTGTCTGCGTAGTCCGTTGAAGTGAACATTGACATCTTCGCGCTGCGAAAGCCAAAGCGCAGACTGTCGAGATCTAGTGTGTCGAATATAGAACTGTTGATACTGATAGATGTTGTTGTCGTGCTAACTGTGAAGACAATCAGTGACAGTTAATTTCGTGCTCTCGAGTAAAGAAGGAAGCGATAGAACATCGAAGCAACTACGTAGTAGTAGAGTAGCTACGCAACGATCAGTAGGGTACCAACTGTTGGACATTACCATTGTCTAAATACTGCTATGTAGTAAGTTCTTTATGATTCTGCGTATAAAACGTGATAGAGAGAGAGAGAGAGAGGAGGAGAGATACGATAAATATCAGTGTTCTAATAGAAAACACCGCGAAATGAGATTGCGCGTTCCACGTTCTTCAGAAAAAATTCGTTCATCTTTGACTAATTTTGCACAACACGGCGATTCTACTTTCTCTTATTTTATTATGATTCGATTACAGTTACACTGAGGGGAAAAATGCCTTAAAAATAAAAAAATATTTATTCAGTGGATAAACAATAATATATTTACGTAAGTCTAAACTTATTAATATTAAGACACAATAATTTAAATATCAAGTAGAATAAAAGCAATTGCTTTTATGATAAGCTGAAGTTTTAAGAAAATGTCTTCTCATTTGACAAGCGTTTTGTATTAGTATTTTGTATAAATAAATATGTTATTAGTATCCACCGAATAAATATTCTTTTATTTTTTAGATATTTTGTTTCTTAAGCTTAATCTACAGTGCTCTTTGCTTCTTGTTTTCTGTTTTTTCTTGCTTAAAAATTCGAGTCAGAAGGAGACCAAGAGGAAGAGAGAGAAAGCAAAAAGCACATTGTAGATTAAACTTAAGGCTTGAGTCAGAAATAAAGAGAAAAAAAAACAAGAAGCAAAGAACACATGATAGATCAAGCTTCAGCGTAGTCAAGAGTCAAAAAACAGACCCGAACTGCTTTTCATCAATCTCGTTTCACGGTAACGTAGAATAAGGAGGTAACAAGAAGTGGACGAAGACCGAGACGGAAGACGTCGGAAGAAACAGGAGAGAGCGATCGAGGTATGATCAAATTACGAAAAAGTGATAAGCGTGAAAGGGGCACACACCAGCAGGATATATATATAATATATATAATATCATAGATCGTGTCAGAATTGATTGTTGTAGAATCGGTCCGCTTACCTCCGTTCCCTAGCTAGCAATGGAAGCAACGTAATGATCAATGTGTCAATCATACGACCGACGAGAGAAGCGCGAACGACTTATGCCTTAAGAGAGGATACCTTAAGTGATATTAAGAGAAATTTTGTCGAACGTGAGGGAGGAGGGGAAGGGAGGGAGGGACAATGCCAATATCGTGCAAGAGATGAATTCACGTCCTTATACGAAAGGAGAGAGAGCTACAATCTTCGTTGCAAGCCTCGCTGTAAAGGGGGAAATGAAGTGAAGACGATTGCGCGAACCGCGCGAGAAAAAAAAATCGAAGTACTACGGACGTAAAAAGGAAGAGAGAAACCGTCGCTGAGAGAAAGAGAGAGAGAGATACTGCTGGCAGTGGTTTATAGACAATGGCTCGATCCAACTGTGGTAGAGGTCAGCGATTTCGTACTGACTGCGCGTACGACAATAATGAAACGTATGCGAGAGGCTTGCAGTCGCATTAATCGTAATCGAAGTTTGGGACCCTCTTTATAGGACTCTCAAAAGTGATGGGATACCTGTCGACGGCGGCGGCTGCTCCACGTACAGCTCCCCGGCGAACGTGTCGCTCGCCTCACGCAACGTGGACGATCCCGCGCTAGTACTCGACACGGATCCTGCAATTAGGAGACGTGTTTTGTCCCGACAGGCGCGCAGGATGCGACACATCGCGTCGCGACTCGAGAAAGAGAAAGAGATAGGCAGCGAGAAGGAAAAAAAAATTAGCGAGAGCACGTGCTTGCGTTACGGTGCATGAAACAGACGTGAGTATCGCTAATGAAGGAAACGTAGGTAAAGACTAGAACGGTGCTCGGAATTATTTGCACTTCGGAGACGATTAGCGAGGTCGACAAAGTAGACTTACTTCTCGAAAATGCAAATAATTCCGAGCACTGCACTGGAAGGTCGACAGAGACGAAAGCAAAAAAATGTTTCATGCTTGTCATGTACGCGTTTGCAAACTTTTGCGATCTGCTCGTTTACGCCTGCACGTCTGATCTCGAAATAGCTGAAACGTTATAATCATCACTCTTTACGGGCGATAAGCGGAGAAACGAAGGGTGCGCGGGTATAGTACCACCAATAACGTGAGTACCGTTCGGTGGTGCTGTTACTTGACTGGACTGCGTTGTTTTAACAGTGCTACTTGAGTTGGATTGATGAGTCGAATGAGGCTGTGATTGAGGTGCTGTGGAATGAGACACCGGAGTCTCGGCAGGCGTACGGTTTATATGAGCTTTGGAGCTCAGATCGCCGGTCAGAAAGTCCATCAACAGAGACGGCCTCTGAGTGCGCGGTTGACCCTCGGCTATCGGGTGCATGTCCACTACGCTTCTCTTGGGTTCCGGTTGCATCTCATCTGCACATTAAAATCGCAAAATAGTTGTGAGTCCTTTCGTTAACATCCAAACCGTTAATACGTTCGCTATCAATGGTTTGTTTGGCAAACTCTTCTCACAAGTTACATTTTCTTTTTTCTTTAAGATAAAACAAACTCAGTTTTTGTATAAGAAAGAAAAATATTATAAATATCATAAAACGTATGGAATTCTCGCAAAAGAACCTCAGATATAATTGATCTATCACTGCTCAGACGAGCTATTTTACATCCAACCCGAAGTACTTACCGAATCTTCGATCTTCGATCTCCTCCTTTAGGTTCTTCAAGTCGTGAATGAGATCCATCAGCAGCGCGCCTCGAGATTTCGGTACAGTGGTACTACTCCCGTTGATCTTCTCCCGTATGATAGTGTGCATGTTTCGCTCGTGCTCGGATATCGGAGCTTGTCCGATCTTGTAAACGATGAACGGCAGCATCTGGATGTACAGAGCCGTGCGGTGTGTCACCACGAATTCCAGGAAATTCCACAGGTATATCGAGGCTTCGTTGCGTTTGTTTAACAGGCGCATCGTGCGCAAGATCCTCGGCCATTCCGTTCGCAGCTCGGTCTCGAAGCATATCGTCATTATCTTGAGCGCTGAAACCAATCGGTCGCAAGCGTGCGTGAATAACAGTTATCTGCACGAGAAAAACAGAATGATTGACCCACATCTAGTTATGCCAATCAAATTCATAATACGGAACAACTGATTATGTGGTCGCTGCAACAATGCAATTACTGCCACAGAGCAATTATCGAGTTACTGGCGTTGTAGTAAAAAACAAAATTACTTTTTTTAAAAAAAGTATAAAAAGGAAGCCAAGTGCACGCGCGTTAGCATTATTTGTCTTTACAAAAAAAGATCGTTATAAACAAATTACAACAAAAGCTCAGCTGAAAGATATGTAACGATCTGCGCTAAAACACCACACGCCGCGCAAAATCAATAGAAAAACGAATTAGGAAAACGCGTAGAAAAAAAGACCGGAGACGACTCGGCGGCCTCCAGAAACCGCTACCGAACAACAACGGAAAGCGTAGGGTCAACCAGGCGACCTACGCAGACCTTCACACCGATCGACCAACGCCGGCGTCAAGGCAAAACACCGCAGGAAAAAATTCGGTCTACTCCAGCGAACGCCAGCCGACAGCTGCAGGAATAAAAGCTCCAGAGAGCAGCAAGAATAAAAGCTACAGCCCGACATCACGAAGAGGAGACGGCAAACGACGTTGGCACAACCAATATCCATAAGACAACCAAGCGTCTACGTATAACCGCGGACGAGCAGATAATAACGATCGATAAAATCATACACCTCAAACCTGAGAAAACTTGTGCCAAAAATTAATCTTTATTATAGGAAAATTGGCGGAAATAATTACAAAATGTCATGACAAAATAAAGTGAAATTGTTTCGTCGTTTAAGCCTAGTATAACTCAGAACAAAAAGATCTCAGTTGGAACAAGAAAGGAAGCATGTGTTTTCTCTTGACGTCGGGTGCTGTCAAATCGATTTTTTTTCGAATTTTCGGAGAACGGATGACGCTACGAGTCTCATATTCTAAAACTATAATTCTTAAGCCTAGCACAACTCAGAACAAAAAGATCTCGGTTGGAACAAGAAAGGAAGCATGTGTTTACTCTTGACGTCGAGTACTGTCAAACCGATTTTTTTACGAATTTTCGGAGAACGAATGATCTTATGAGTCTCATACTCTACAACTATAATTCTTAAGTCTAGAACAACTCAGAACAAAAAGATCTCGGTTGGAACAAAAAAGATAGTATAAGTTTACCCTTTGTCCGATAGACTATTTGTCAAAAAACTTTTTTTTAATTTTTCGGACTTATAATTAAACTTATTGATTTGTGCTTTTGGAACAATGTTTGGAACAACTAGAACAATCTATATCGGTATCGGAATGCTTTATTTTCAAAAAATGGGGTGCCAGGTCAAAAACATTTTTTT